TCCAGATGAGTTGGGAGCTAGGGCAGCCCGCGCGCGACCTATACCAATCCTACACTCCTTTATCCTATTGTTTCTTTGTCACTTCTTGGAAATCACGAAGAGGATTTCCGGACTGGACTGAGCGGGAGGAGAGAAGACTCATTTTTCATTCTATCTATATAAGGGGGAGCTATTGTGAAGCCTAGAAAGGCGGAAGCGGCAAATCGCTTCTACCGAGTTTCCCAACAGTAGCTTAGCTTAGTAGCTTCANGTGGCAAATCGCTTTTATCGAGTTTCCCAATAGTAGCTTAGCTTAGTAGCTTTACTCTTTCTACTGGCGTGACGCTGCTGGATGCTTCTGATCAATAGGAAGAGGAGGAAAAAAAAAGCTTATGATGAGCATCTATTTGAGTCGATCATTTCCAAGATCTAATTCAAGTTTTTTCTTATGTAGTGGAAACGCCTTACAATCTGAAGTTTTACGCTTAAGGGAAGAAATGTTCTTGGTGGATGCAGGACCTGGGACCCCCAGAATTTGTATGCAAGATGAGCCTACAGGAGTGCCAATCAACCGAGCCACCAGGTTTGAGAATAAGGTGGGATCCCTAGATCTAGTGGCCGGTGAATCACTGATCAAAGAGTAGATTTTGGAGAGATTCTTCATCGATCTAGTGGCTGGTGAATCACTGATCAAAGAGCGAGCAGCCGCCCGGTTTAATGATTTGGTGGGATCCACAGATGTAGTGGCTGGTGAACCGCTTCTTCTTCTTCCACGAAGATTCAGACAAAACCGAGCTTGGATGGAACTGAACAAGATTTGGCGAACGAATACAAAGGTAAAAGGCTTTATTATTGAGAAAGTCAAAGGAGGTTATTCAGTAGCCATCGCAGGTTTCATTACTTTTCTTCCATTCCGTCCTCTCATAAGTCAAAGGATATCGAATGATCGATTCACCATTGAGAGCATTAACCCCAAAAGGACGAATATTGTGGTGTTCTAACAGCGGCAGATCAAACAAGAACTTGATGAGCGAAATCCGCTTACGAAAAAAAAAGAGCACTTTTTTCAATTCCGAAGCCTAGCGTCTCCTGATAACACTCTATCACCTTAATCCATTCTTTTGTTGAGGGTCTGGCACTTATTCCGGCTCTCTATTTACATAGCGAAGAAAGGCTCTTGCTCGAATGCGTGACTGCGGCGCGCCTATCGCCCCGGCACGGCACTCTAAAATGCACGTTAGGTTGAGCAAGAATACTACGACTAGGGAGACAAAGAATGGAATTGAAGGCATAGTCTCAATAAAAAGAATTGAACACCATGGCGGATTTGGATGGAGTCTCGCAGAAACCTATTAGAGTAAGATAGGTTTCTTGAGCAAATCCTTTAATCGTGGGAGGAAAGGGCAGAAAAGTGAGCCCACCCCAGGCAAACCCACTTCTCGTTATCTTGTTCCTGGTCAAGTTCCCGTATCCGCTCCTTACTCCAATCCTCCCCATCAAATTAAAGTAACGTAAGGAAGGGCCACTCTCAATTGAATAAGCGTATCAAAGAGAATGAGGTCTAGCGCCCCGGAATACCATCGAGAAAGAGCAATAGAACAAGGTGGGAATAAGATATAACAAATGGGTAGGATAACCAAGGGCAATTCAATCGCTTTATGAGAGAATCGGTATACTTTCTGCGTAGGCAGGCCCAGCAGTATCCAATTAATGTAGTCGGCGAAACAAAGGAAAGAGGAATGGGAGAAGTTTTAGAGGAAAATCTAAGTACCAAGAGGGAAATGGAGCTCGAATCCATAGCATTCTCCACGCACCCACCATTCGTTAGCAGCGACCTTACCACGCATCATTACCACCAGCCATTTCACTCGAATCTGTAGTAAGCAGTATCCTTCGCAACTAGAGGATAAATTGGATTCTTTTTTGTCTTTTTATTGGCATCAACAACCTAAAGAACCATAGGTGCACCAACTGATTGAGAGATTGGAGTGCAGTGACCGTACCCGAGATAGATCTGAACCAACGGTTGCGGAGAATAGGTGCAACGGGGAATCATGGGAATAACAAGAGGGTACGTAGGGATGCTTTCAAAGCTGACCAAGCTCCTTTTTCTAACGATTGAAAAAAGAAATCGGCCGGTGTTCTTCCCAACTGCTCCAATAAACGTGCCTACACCCCATTCCGTCTGGAGAATGATATGATTGACCGAGAGTACTTATGAAACCCGGCACTGAACTAATGGTTTTATCTGCGACCTCCTGAACTGTTCGTATCGCTCCCTTCGGTTAAAAAAGGCTATGATGAAACTTCGGATCGGCTTCCTAGCGTACGGAATACGGAATGGATTCCAAAGCCCCTCTGTTTTAGCTTAGACTAACGGCACCGATTCCTAGTGCTATAACAGAAACAGCCATTAACGCGCAAATGAAAGCCCTCACAACACTCGATACCTGCAACTGCTCCCGCTTATGGTAGTAGATAAACAGGTGGACATGTATCTGCAGTCTCTGCTGCTGGTAGATTGACTGCTTTATATGGACCTGGGGCTGCAACTGAGGGTAGTGCTTGGGAATGCTACTCTAGCTCTAGCTCCCCTTACTAGATCAAATAAGGCACCTACGAACCGCTAAAGAGAGTTTCTCTCTCCCTCCCCCCTATACTTTAAAGCGAAGCGGGACTTGTTTCTCTCTCTCGTCTCGGCTTCTTCAACTACTCTTTCCGCAAGCCCTATGTTGTAAGGGATGGAAAGTGCAATCGCCAAAGCCGGCTATTCGGAAAGCAAGGAGGTCTTTCTCTGCTCCTTTCTTCCCCAACAATAGTTTCGGCAGACTCTGCTTTCGACAACCGGGAAAACTTCTTCCTAAAAAGAAATGGTTGCCAGTAGTATGGTAGCCATGTGATTGGTATAAGCCGAAAGACATGTTTAATAAGAGTTGTCTGCCACTGAGGCTAAGCCCTATTTGAGACTAAGGCAGGCTCCTTTTGACTGCATTTTTTCCTGCTTTCCTTGCGCCCCTTCCAACTAGTTATAGATTGTCTTAATGCCTATAAACTGGGACCAAGCCAAGTAAGTCCGTAGATCATCTGTTAATCCTTTTTTGAATCCCAGTTTTCTTAGTATCCGTCGTCGTCTGGGGTTTTTTTAACATGACCAAAGTATACAAAATGTTTTCCCCCCGGGGAAACAAGGAAAAAATAAAGTTTTGAAGCCTCGAACGATTGGCGCTTTGCTCTCTATCTGGCTTTGTTCTTATTACAGTGTTATCTGCAACCAGCCAGCAAGTAGAGATATGGAGAGAGGGGACAGCTTTGTCGCGGACCTTTCTTTGGTTTCTTTTATGAACTCCACTGGTCGTCCATGGATTATAGGTGCTATCCATTGTATATAAATACACTTTCGTATCCTACTCCGAAAATCCAATTTTCCTTAAGCATATAGAAACCTATTATTCAANCAGCTTCTTCAACTACTCTTTCTACAAGCCCTATGTTGTAAGGGATGGAAAGTGCAATCGCCAAAGCCGGCTATTCGGAAAGCAAGGAGGTCTTTCTCTGCTCCTTTCTTCCCCAACAATAGTTTCGGCAGACTCTGCTTTCGACAACCGGGAAAACTTCTTCCTAAAAAGAAATGGTTGCCAGTAGTATGGTAGCCATGTGATTGGTATAAGCCGAAAGACATGTTTAATAAGAGTTGTCTGCCACTGAGGCTAAGCCCTATTTGAGACTAAGGCAGGCTCCTTTTGACTGCATTTTTTCCTGCTTTCCTTGCGCCCCTTCCAACTAGTTATAGATTGTCTTAATGCCTATAAACTGGGACCAAGCCAAGTAAGTCCGTAGATCATCTGTTAATCCTTTTTTGAATCCCAGTTTTCTTAGTATCCGTCGTCGTCTGGGGTTTTTTTAACATGACCAAAGTATACAAAATGTTTTCCCCCCGGGGAAACAAGGAAAAAATAAAGTTTTGAAGCCTCGAACGATTGGCGCTTTGCTCTCTATCTGGCTTTGTTCTTATTACAGTGTTATCTGCAACCAGCCAGCAAGTAGAGATATGGAGAGAGGGGACAGCTTTGTCGCGGACCTTTCTTTGGTTTCTTTTATGAACTCCACTGGTCGTCCATGGATTATAGGTGCTATCCATTGTATATAAATACACTTTCGTATCCTACTCCGAAAATCCAATTTTCCTTAAGCATATAGAAACCTATTATTCAAATTTTCATATGTTGCTGGTTTGGCGAGTTTAGTGATCATGGCTGGCTCACCTGATCTATCAGCTGAGTAGTAAGCATCCTTGGGATAATCATCAATATCTCTTCCTATCCAAATGAGATTAGGAGGACGCCTTTTTTAAAGAGCCAGCCTGTCTTTCAATAGATTGGCAATTACCTTAGTCATTCTCTTATACAGTGTAGTTTCTATAGCAATGGGCCTCGGTCTAGTGAGGTTTTGCTTTTTTGGGAATCATTGCTAGGAAGAAGGATTGAATTGCACCTGGTTTGCTCCTGTTTGACTTCAATTACCATATGGAGATGGAGATCTTCCTTAATTATGTTCCAGCACTGCCCCTGCATTAATCAACCAAGTAGAAGTGAAAGTTTAGTTGGAATCCATCTAGTCTAGTAGTTTTTGACTATGAACAGCCCCCTGTTGTTGATAGATAGTTTACCAGATTGAATCATTTTTTTTTTGCTTGGAGGACTTTTGAAATATTTGATGGACTGTTGCTATATGCTGTTGGCTTGATAAGATGGATAAGTGTGAGAACAATTTCATAACTTCTGTCCTTATCTCCTCATGCTGAACCAAAACCCGGCCTGCCTGTTGGGCATTTCAAATTGATGAAAGTGTGGATTCTGCGTTTCTTAATAGATGCGTGGAAAAAAGAAAAACCTTTTCACCAAAACTGTCGAGATTGTAGGCGCAGCGGCTCCCCTACCCTTCTTGACTTAAAGCTGAGCTTCCAATCTTCTATACATACAATAGTCCTCTATGTGTTCTGCATGTGGTTCTCTCTTACTTGCTTGTTCTAATCTTCCTTTTTCATTCACGCCTTTTTTGCTTGTTTTGTATTTTTAACATGCATTTCCTTCGCCTTTTGAATTTTCAGTAGGGGCCTTTAGTCGTTGTTGAATTGCTACTGCTACTAGTACTAGTCTTCGGTTAAAGCAGTAGGCAGGAGCTTTCAAATTCCTGGAAGTTTCATTCCAAGTTTCCTCAATCAATTGTATACATTCTGCATTCAGAAGCCCCAGTCTAGATATGGATCCATCCTCAAAAGTATAGGGCTTCTCCTTGGTTGTCATTAATATAGGTCTATGATCAGCCCTTCCAAGTAGTGGTAAGAATGGATTCAAGTAAGATAGATTCGTTCTCCATGATACCTTCCCTTTACTCCATAGGGCCTTTCCCGGATTCTACTCCCTCTTGTCGATTAGACCAGGTAAAAACTCCATTATTTAATTCCAGTTAGATTATACTGAGCAGTTCTCTGAATGTAGACATGAGACGATCAGCAGATCTTCGACTGCCCTTTTAGCTTTATCTAGTTAAGGGTGAGTCTGATCTGGTTATAATCCCCCATGTATAAACATTCCATATCCAAAAACATTTATAGTTCCTGCCTTTTTAATGCGGGATAATGTTTGTTTATATAGATTAGAGATGTCAATCAATGAGCCAGAGTTTATTGGTATGCCCAATTTGATCCAGTAAGGAGTCGTTAGTTTCAGTGTTGGAAAGCGAGGCCTTCATTCTCTTCTTCCGAATCAGGCCGATTTTTACTTTCTTACTTAAAGGGGTGTTGGAATGGGGATAAAGACTACTGAAAGCGACTCCAGTAGGTATCCTTGGCTTAATTGGCTGGGCTGCCCAGTTGAATTTCCTGCAAGAATAGTCAATATGATGTTGTTCTACTATCCTTCTCATTTTCTTAAGTTTCCTAAGCCTCTAATGTTCTAGGATAAGTTTTTTCATAAGATAACCGGTTCATCCTGACCGGGTCTTTTTTGTCTCTTGAGTACAAAACAAAACAAAACAAAACAAAACAAAACAAAACAAAACAAAACAAAACAAAACAAAACAAAACAAAACAAAACAAAACAAAACAAAACAAAACAAAACAAAACAAAACAAAACAAAACAAAACAAAACAAAACAAAACAAAACAAAACAAAACAAAACAAAACAAAACAAAACAAAACAAAACAAAACAAAACAAAACAAAACAAAACAAAACAAAACAAAACAAAACAAAACAAAACAAAACAAAACAAAACAAAACAAAACAAAACAAAACAAAACAAAACAAAACAAAACAAAACAAAACAAAACAAAACAAAACAAAACAAAACAAAACAAAACAAAACAAAACAAAACAAAACAAAACAAAACAAAACANCTTGCCTGTTGGGCATTTCAAATTGATGAAAGTGTGGATTCTGCATTTCTTAATAGATGCATGGAAAAAAGAAAAACCTTTTCACCAAAACTGTCGAGATTGTAGGCGCAGCGGCTCCCCTACCCTTCTTGACTTAAAGCTGAGCTTCCAATCTTCTATACATACAATAGTCCTCTATGTGTTCTGCATGTGGTTCTCTCTTACTTGCTTGTTCTAATCTTCCTTTTTCATTCACGCCTTTTTTGCTTGTTTTGTATTTTTAACATGCATTTCCTTCGCCTTTTGAATTTTCAGTAGGGGCCTTTAGTCGTTGTTGAATTGCTACTGCTACTAGTACTAGTNAGAAAGTTTTGAAGCCTCGAACGATTGGTGCTTTGCTCTCTATCTGGCTTTGTTCTTATTACAGTGTTATCTGTAACCAGCCAGCAAGTAGAGATATGGAGAGAGGGGACAGCTTTGTCGCGGACCTTTCTTTGGTTTCTTTTATGAACTCCACTGGTCGTCCATGGATTATAGGTGCTATCCATTGTATATAAATACACTTTCGTATCCTACTCCGAAAATCCAATTTTCCTTAAGCATATAGAAACCTATTATTCAAATTTTCATATGTTGCTGGTTTGGCGAGTTTAGTGATCATGGCTGGCTCACCTGATCTATCAGCTGAGTAGTAAGCATCCTTGGGATAATCATCAATATCTCTTCCTATCCAAATGAGATTAGGAGGACGCCTTTTTTAAAGAGCCAGCCTGTCTTTCAATAGATTGGCAATTACCTTAGTCATTCTCTTATACAGTGTAGTTTCTATAGCAATGGGCCTCGGTCTAGTGAGGTTTTGCTTTTTTGGGAATCATTGCTAGGAAGAAGGATTGAATTGCACCTGGTTTGCTCCTGTTTGACTTCAATTACCATATGGAGATGGAGATCTTCCTTAATTATGTTCCAGCACTGCCCCTGCATTAATCAACCAAGTAGAAGTGAAAGTTTAGTTGGAATCCATCTAGTCTAGTAGTTTTTGACTATGAACAGCCCCCTGTTGTTGATAGATAGTTTACCAGATTGAATCATTTTTTTTTTGCTTGGAGGACTTTTGAAATATTTGATGGACTGTTGCTATATGCTGT